GAGTTTGGACCGCGAGACAGTGAATGTTTTGGTTTTCTTGGGGACCCTTCCCGGAGCCAGTGATTCAATACTTTGACCTACTTGGTTGTAGAGGGCCGGCCTGGTCTGAGGGCGCCGGGAGTAGGGCATTACCCTCTCACTCCTGATGCAGCTGCATACAGCAGGTGCCCTTTGGGCAGCACCGGACTCTTTGGTCTTAAAGGTACTTCGACCGTATTGAATAATGCGCCGGCGGTCACGGTCAACCGTTGGGCAATCGGAGTGTGCGGTTTTGGGGCCGACCTTATCTAATCCGTCCTTCCTCGGAGGAAGGCAACATCGCTGCTTCCATAACTATGAACATGCTGGTCGCCTAGAGGAAATGCCCTACCGCCCACACACTCCTATCGCAGAGGACAGTGTGACTTTACCTCCATACCGCCTCGTAGGATGATTACTCGTAGTACGGGGACTCGCTATTCTTCGTCGGGCTGCTCCCCGTTTGCCTTCCTGACATGGTTGAACCTTTAGGAACTGAGTTCCGGCCAATATAGCCCGCAGGATCATTACAGCGTAGAAGCCCGACCACCGCGACAAGATGATAACTTTGGGTCGGGAGCGACCATTTACTGGGATTCAATCCAGCAAAGCGCATCCAGCTCTGGAGCTGATTGCAATTTCCACCGTATATTCCTCGAGTCATCGCTTCTGAATCACAAGACGCGCGGATGGCGAAATATGAAAGAGCTGAGCTCGTCCTTGATGTTCTGAATTACATGATCACTCTTGGGATGCGGAGATAGCATATATATATTTTAAGTCGAGGATTGCTTGTTTGCCAGTCATCATGATGGGCAGCATGACATAAGTTTTCAACACTAATGTTTCGCTGCCGTACAGTCGTGATTTATTTGAAAGCATTATTGAAAAGAAAAGAATAAAGGTGGACAGGTGTTGGTCATCATATCCCACGACCAAGAGAGCCGAAGGTAGTTTCCAAGTATAGGTCGGTTGCCGTTTTTAGCTGCTGGAATCGATCTCACTGTACCAGAATCTGGCGTGCAGTGAATATGTGATCCTTGAATCCAGCCTGGCTTTGATGGATGTGCTTCAGCTCATTTGACGAAAGGTGAGGCCAGAGAATACTTTCAATGACACAGCTACCTGGCTGATGTCACGATGGATTTTACACGGTTCATGACTCTTTTGAAGATGGGCTCGATTGTTATAGTGGCATATTCACCGAACACATTATCTTGATTCTGTGTAGCATTAGTAATTTTTACCAGGTAACCAGGGTGTACTTGCTTTTCAAGGGGACGTTACAAACCTTGCGGTCCTGGCGTTATCTTATGTTTCCAGGAGGACATTTCGCGCTTCATCATTTCTGATGCCCAATTAGGGTCTACATTCCATTCGCCCTCTTGCGTTTCATCGGAGCACTTCGTTGGGAGGCGACCTCGGCCGAATTAACGCCCGTTGTTAGCGAGTTTTGGGTATCGGAGGCCGATCACCTCAGTTATTGGAGGAGCTGTTGCATCTATTCTCCTATACTCAACTTCTTATCTACGCTTTGTTCTGCAGTATCGGCTGCAACCCAGATCGCCGTGCATACGTACGTGGCTGTTCGTAGAGCTGCCAGAAACCCCGTGCTACTGAATAAATTTTTCAGAGTCATTGTGGAGTATTACCATACTTGTTTTCCGTGTTTGATCGGAAAATCGGATTTCGTCCGTAGTTCATTTGTTCCGAAAACAATCGGTTTAGCAAGGGCACATTGCCACTGGACAGAAGATTCTGTTGTGTGGGTGCCGTTGGTAGGAGATTCAGAGGAATTTCATCGTCGGATAGTCTTTGTTTTTGAAGCACCCGTTGTGCCCATGAACTGAGCTGCATCGTTATATACTTGTCTCTTCTGTTTCAGACTTCCATCTTTGAGCGTCGGTTTTCCTTTGGATCCGGGTTCTGATACCTGAAGATGAAACAAATATCTCAGCAGTTTTTCGACGAAACTGTTCGAGCCAATTTGGAGTTACTTGATCAATCCATAGATGAGGCCATCGAGGAAACTATACAATCCTTCACCATTGAGGTATTTTTTTGTAAATGATCGTGATGCAACTGCAGGGAGTTGATTTGTCCAACATTATCCCGGATAAAATTAAGCATGTGGACGGCCATCCGTGCGAAAATTGTTACAGAAGTCTTGTCAATGTCCTCAACGAATCCACGCTCGATTCTGTGGCGCTTGAAACCTGCCTTGATGAAATTGAGAGGCTGAGTGCGATCGATCTGGCGCACAGAAAATTGATTGCCTCACAAGGAGCGTTTAAGTACTTGGAATTCGCACTGAAGAAATGTACGGAGTCTGGAGAAAAACGTTCCGCCATACACGTAATTAAGACAACCAGCGCTTTGCTGGTTGGTCAGTCGGAACTCATCAGGGGAGATGGAGAAGATTATTTGAACAGTAAGTCAGACAGTCGATGGTGAAATCCAACCATCATCTGTTTCCCATTTCTTTAAACTGGCCGAGTGGTTTATGACCCATTAGGTTGCCCACTAACTGGAAAGTTCCCATCATATTTTCAAATTTAGGGCTTTTCCGGTGCGCCTCACCTAACTCAACATTCTAGGTTGTCGCTATCCTCTGCTCCTCTGGGATTATCAACATCCAACACGGTTACTATTCGCATCACCTGGTCCTAATAGGTGCACGGTGATTACCCTTTAGAGAGTTTCTCGCACGAAACCATTCTGTTTTCTGGTTACTTAAGTTGTTTATCCATGTCAAATAAGTTATCACCATTTGGTATCACCATCAGCTGTAAAAACGGCGTACTTGCCATCATCGTCAGTGATTTAGGGAAGTGAGGCTCTAAGCTGCGCGTTGGAGGCCGATGCGCAGATACACATCAATTAATGCATCGATGTGAAAGTTTCAGGTCTGGATATCATCTGAGTGGGTCATAAGGATCCGACTGCCCATTGATCAAGTAGACATATGAACATATATGCACTGGAAGAACCTGACTCAAACCTTGTTGGTTTTTGGTGTGTTCTATTCACTTGCACAGGCTGAGTCAGCCGAATAAGCGATACCGGTCACTAATAATTCGACAAAAGACTGAGTTAGTAATAACTGTATCCTTTTAGCATCAGTGGGCACTGTCGCTGTAGCAAGTCTCTAATATGTCGTACGTTTCACGTCAATCCAAATCCATTGGTTTATTCACCTAACGGTGGTTATGTTTCTGAAAAGCCGAAAGCAAATGAACCAAGTCGCTCAAAACTCTACCGGTGCAGCACTAATCTAGACTGTTTAGCATTTGTGGATGTTCGCACTTAGTTCTTTTTGTGTCCCGAGCTCATTGACGAACTCGACTACCCTGGAAATATCGCCTAGTATTTTGAACTCATCCGTAGTCAATAAAACTTAGTCCCCTTTTAGACCATCCTGCCTACAAGGCAATAGTTCAGGTCCTGTTCGCATAAGAATCACTGTATACTCCGTATAACTGACAGCTAAACTGACCAAAGTGGAAGATTGCTGGAGTCACTTTGTGCATCATCGCTCGACCTATGTTCCAATAGCGTAGCGATCTTAAGTTGTTCTATTTTTCCTTGAATTCCAACCGTGAACTCGTACACCTCCATTAATAAAATGTATGCATTTGTAAGCGCGGGTTAACTAACCAGCCGCTCGTGGCCAAATGGTATAGTGCTCAACTGTTGGCCGGGAGGATCATGGATTTGAAACTCCCCGTAGTTTCGTGTGATACGCATTGCTGATGATTCCCACTATGGACTAAACAGCCGTAAAGTGCCTCTGGACTTTTCGGTATAGATTGATTTCACTTGCCTCACTAAATATCGATTAGAATTGTATTACACTTTCCTTCGTCTCTTAGTGTTTCTTCCTAGTTTGACTTGTCTCTGTGTCTCCTCGGCTTGTAATATCACAATTAAGACCTTGTCTCTTGTTTACTTTTTTCTCTTGAGGATTGACGGAGTTACTGACAAAAACAGCCGAAGCAGAAGAGCTGAATGCGGAAACACTGGATCTACTCTCTGAGTTGTGCCATGTCCTCCGAGTTGCGTGCCTAATGAATGAGCCAAATCGAACCAGAATCGCCCAGTCTCCGGTTCCTTCGAGAACGGTCGATTTGCTTTCACGCTTTGAACTCAAGACAGGTGTTCCTGAGCTAGATTCACAGTTGCATTGTATACATGAAGCCTGTACATTCTTACGTTCGTTGACGCTAGACGATGATATGAGTGTGGAATTCGGTGAGGGATCGGCTAATGCGCGGTCTATGGCATCTGCTGGAACAGCGATTGAGGTTCTTACGAAGTTGGCAAAAGGTGCTTATATTTTTGATCCTTTGATCACTTTCTTCCCCACATTATATGCACTGGCAAAATAACTGTCGTTTATTTCGATCACTGCGTGATTGATTGATTGCCCCAGGTGCAAACGTTATTCCGTCGATCACGCCGCTCTGATTATCACAGAGAGGATTTATAAATAATAAATCCACCGATTGTTTACCAAACCTCCCTGAAAAGAGACAGATCTCCGCGTCATCCATTCTTGTCGGATGCTTTCATAAAGTGCTTGTTGATCGCTGGAGCCGGAGATTGCAACTGTCCTCACTTCAGTTTGCATTTCTACATCGAGACGGTTGTTTGGCAGCTACATCTCTGTTACATGCCCTGCTTCTTCACTCTTTAGCGACTGCTTTCAATCTCAGCTTGACATTTGTTGATATCTGGAAGGCGTTTGATCCGGTTTCGCATGACAATCGTCAGGTCTGCCGAGGCGTTTGGAGTACCTTCACCTCTAGTTCGATACATCGCACAGTCTTATGAGAATGCTGTTGCAGTTTTCTCCAGTTCCGAGGCTCATTACCACAGGCGTGAAGCAAGGAGATCCACTCTCCCCATTGTTGTTCATCATGGCAGTTGATGAGGTTCTTGGATTGTCGATGCTGGTGGCTGCTTGGGGTCTGCACAACAGCATTGACGGTCCCGGTTTACAAGAGTTGGTCGCTTCGCCTCTTGCACTCCCAGAACGACTGTTTCCTCGGATATTTATCCGCGGTATCCAGCTTCGATGTAGCCTGCTTAGGACGAGAGTTAGAAGCGCTTGGCGTTGCCATGGTGGCCGGACAATTTTCTGTTGTGGAAACTGGCCAACCTGAGAGTTTGGTGCATGTTTTGCAGTCCTGTTGCATCACGCATGATGCTAGATATGCTCGTCATGATCGGGTTGCAAGGGAGCTCGCAAAACGTCACCGTCTTGGATACACGTCATGGACAGCACCTGCTTTAACGTCTTTAATCGATTTTCAGGAGCATCGAGCAACTGTGTTGGACGCAAGCACAGTCTCGGACGGGCATGGAGTGACTGTGGGATGAGAAGCAGAAGTACGGTGCTGATAAATATTCCTTCGCTATAATCTCAACTCCACGTGCAATTGGTTGTGATGTCAACTTTTTGTTCCACGAGCCGGTGATCCTTTCTCATCGAGGGATCTGCTTTCCTCATTCCGCCAAGGCTGTCATTGGACTGGGGCTCCCTAAGGTCACAGTCAGTAACTTGTGTTTGCTTACCATTGTGGACTCTCTGGCGTACTTACGCCACTTTTATGCGTGGTAAATGGCTTTGAGTGTACCTTCTTGCCATTGAATCTCACCCCAGACTCAGCACGATGGACACTGTGGCTGATTTGCTAGTCTTGACTGTGCTAGCGCTTACCGCGCCTTGAAGAGTATTCGCCGTTGTTTGTCCTTTCCTTGGGGGCGAGATGGCCCAAGTGGTTGGAGCGCGAATTCACTGATCGAAAGGTCCGTGGTTCGAATCCTGCCTCTGCTTCTAGACTTCCTCTGTCTAGGTTTGGGCAACCTGGCAGTATCCCAGCCCTTTTGCTTCATTTGGGTGGCATGGCAGCTAGGCACCGAAGGGGTGTTACAGCTGAGCGACTATTAATTTATTTATTTATTGACTTTGGCACATACAACTTAGGTTTTCGGTGGCTGTTGTCTAACAGATGATGTTCCGCGTAGTTTGCCTCGAAATAGTGGCTATTTTCGTTGGTTCATAGATAAGGAACTTTTTATGAGTGCGTACAGCCTCGGCGCTTATCTTTGGGCCAGTGCCTAATTATATAACTCTCATTTTCATACCCAGATGCCTTATCAATCTCAAGTGAAACTTGTGTTGCTGATGTCTTCCTCGCACTGTCTAGCATCATAACTCGTGACGAATTCTGTCTCAAGTTCACTGATCTGGAAGGAATGGATATTATTTTCCAGACGTTACTCAGCTTTTTGAACTCTGCGGTGAGCTGATTTTTTTCGTCTGTCTCTTATTACCGCCGTTTAGTCCTAGGGTTTTTGATTATGATTATGATTATGATTATTACACTTTTAAACGACGTTTTTCAAAACTGGAAATGGCCTAGGGTATTCCCGCAGGTCATCCGTTTCCCCGTCTGTTGCCTAAGGAAGGCGTTTTTACCGTGAATGTATATCACACGATTTGGTTGTTCATGATAATCTTTTCCAAAATAGCATACGATCGAAGTTTTCACACGGGGAGATGCACGGGCTTTCCCAACCAGTAGAAGGAACTAGTGTGTCGCTACTTTTGTCGATTTGTCGAAATATAATTAGCTCGGGCGCACTTACTGTTGGCTGATCAGGTGGTAGTTGATCTGTTCGCCGAGCTTGGCAATTGGTTTGCAAGCGTTTCGTCCCCAGTCGAGTGCACATCGTCAGTGTGTCATTCTAAACAAAACCAGATTGGGACGCCAAGTTGGTCCTCATAACAAGCTTCCAACGGAGGTCTGATCCTTCAAGTCAGATCTGTGTCTATGCTGAAACTCCCCTCGTTGTGTATCCCGAGGGGATCTGAGCTCGTGATCTTTCGGTTAGTAGCTGAAGATTGTCACTTGTTCATGAGTTGCTAAGTAGCAGTGTGATCCACTTGTACTCAGAACTATACACTGCTGTTGATTCCAAGTAGCAATGAAACAGCTATTCAGGCCTTCTAGGTTTTTCAGTATGGATCATCACTTGCAGGATGAATTCTCATTTGAATCCTCATAATTGCTTCACTAACTGCAGACCACTGGGCCTACTCGCTCCCTACCCAAGAATTAAGAGTTTGGCTGATTGTTAACGTCAGAGTCAATGGATTAACGAGATATTACAATCGCCCCGCCGATCCTGAATGAAAGTGATGCTCCATAATTCATTCTGAAATGTCTGCATGATGATGAGTGTGTAATATTGACAATACATTGGTGGTGCTTCTTTTCTGAAAGGCGTCGTATACCGTATGCTGTGACACTTCGGTTTCATGCTATGCTAGCGAGTTACAGCTTGCCGTATGTATGTATGTATG